GATTGTATAAAAGTTTTCAAATACTATTGCAGTAATATATTCAAGCAAAATAAAATTTGAAAATGGCAGAAAAAACACTTCACTTGTCTCATTATTCATACTCGTACCAACATATTGGTTTATTACACTCTAACCCACATCTAATTCACCGTGACAGATCTTAGAGAGAACACATTACTAGCATCCTGTTCACATTACAGCAGTATAAATAAGTTTATTCTGTACACTTATTTCTACAGCTAACAAGTGTTTTATTTCAGCAAATTTTTACCCCATATCTTGAAAATTGCACTTGCTAGTTATATCAAAATTTAATTTGGTTAACATTGCATAGTGAATAATTCCAAAATTTTAAAATGATCAATGAGTTATTATAATCAAAAGAAAGAGACAAATTTTGGTGAAATTTAACCAATATAAGTGGAACACACACGAAAATCAAACTTGGTTGAGATCCCAAACTGGTTAATATAATACTGGATATAGATTGTTAATTTACCGTACTTCTAATTGACCAAATATGGTTTTCAACTTATGTATGAAAAACAATTTGCATTCATTTTGTTGCAAGAGGTGCCAAGTCAACTTACACATTAATTGATTGCTTTTAGGTGGATTTTGGTTTTGCTAAGAAAATAGGTTTTGGGCGCAAAACTTGGACATTTTGTGGAACGCCTGAATATGTTGCTCCTGAAATTATTCTTAATAAAGGTCATGACCTTTCTGCTGACTACTGGTCCCTAGGAATTCTCATGTATGAATTGCTGACTGGAAGGTATTTATTTATATTTTATAGCGTTGTGATTCTATAAAGCAGACTGCCCTCAGTGTTATCATTCATAAGAACCTATAAAACAGAGACTGCCCTCAGTGTTGTCATTCGCAAGAACCTATAAAGCAGAGACTGCCCTCAGTGTTGTCATTCGTGAGAACCTTATAAAGCAGACTGCCCTCAGTGTTGACATTCACCCAAGTAAAGCAGAGACTGCCATGAGAAATTATGGTACACATATTCCAGAAAAATAGAAAAATTTTTTAAAAGATAATTGACTCAGACATGATTTTTCCATTAAAGCCCAGACAAAATATTATTAATTTTTATAAAAAATCTAAATAAAAAGATACATTTATAACAATTGTAGAACAAAAATAAGATCTAATTTTAGAATACAAAAATGTATTTTGTGGATCATTTCAAATTACCATAATGTATGAAATGTATTCCAGTCCTCCTTTCTCTGGTGCTGACCCTATGAAGACTTACAACCTTATACTCAAGGGAATGGATATGGTGGAATTTCCTCGCAAAATGACAAAAAATGCTATTATTATGATTAAAAGGCTGTGCAGAGATAATCCAACAGAAAGATTAGGTTACCAGAAGAATGGAATTAAAGACATTCAGAAGCATAAGTAAGTATCATCACTGTTGTCATGGTTACACAGAATGTGGAAGCTATCTTGAGTTTGAGTTTAATGTTTTGTACATTTACTACTAATGAGCCTATCAACCAATCAAATCATATAGTGCCCATATTAACGAATGGGCTGTCTCTAATGTGTGAGGGTGCACTTCAATTGTATCAGCTGTTAAGAAACAGTATGGAAAAGTTAGTTTATTGAAATCTGTATCTTGTATTGTAACTGTCTATTAGAAATCAGTTGTTTTTCCCCTGAGATAATAGATTGGCACGGCCGTGGTAATTTTATATTTTTAGTCCCCGTTCGGACGAAGTACTTTATGTGGGACATATGTCCATGACGATTTATTTCACAATTGGACCAAAGATGGCCAACTGGCAGCCATCTTGTTTTTTGGAAATGTTGTATTTTGAACATGCTTTGTCAGTTTTCATTCAAATTTAGTACATAAATCATACATGTTAGGATACATGTCCCAACCGTCCGTGAGTAACTGAGTCTGTCCGTCCATATGTGTGTCCGTCCGTGCGTCAGTCTGTCCAGAGTCATATTTCAGAATCCTGTGGACCGATTCCATTCATTCTTTGCATGTACCTAGTACCTTATGTGGTACATATGGTTTAGTGATTTGATTCAAAATGGTCGACTGGCAGCCATCTTTTGAAAATGTTGTATTTTGGACATGCTTTGTCAGTTTTCATTCAAACCTGGTACATAGATTATACATGTTAGGATACATGTCTATGACAATTTATTTCGCAATTGGATCAAAGATGGTTGACTAGCAGGCATCTTGTTTTTGTCAAGAGAACTTTCAAATAATTAACAGGGACTGTGTCATTTTCAATGACTTGTTTTTCCTAAATTGTTGTCCAACACAAAATTGCCATGACTGATCGATTCTGCAGCATATCCATTGCTATTACTTATTCATTATATGAAGTGACGTCATGGAACCCGGGAGTCAAACACTTCCAAAAGAGGAAAGTAGGCATGCACTTGCACTTGAATGCATTGACCAAATTATATGCACCGATTTGAGTGCATCTATTTGAATGCATTGACCAAATTACATGCACCGATTTGAGTGCATCTATTTGAATGCATTGACCAAATTACATGCACCGATTTGAGTGCATCTATTTGAATGCATTGACCAAATTACATGCACCGATTTGATTTACATTCTGAATTTCAAGCCAATTATGTCTCTTTGTTTTTATTTGCAGGTGGTTTGAAGGATTTAACTGGGATGGACTACGTAAAAGAACAATGACACCACCAATTCTACCCACAGTAAGTCAATGTCATATTATTATCATGATTGATAGGTCAGAGTTCAAATACTTACAGAAAAATTATGACCTTCACTCTGGGTCACCTCAGGGCCAAAGCCACTGGTGGAGCTTCATTCACAAATGAATGTGACTTGGGGGGGGGGGATTCTTGCTTTTACTATCTTTAAAAAACATACACAAAAAACATATGTTATCTTTGTGATGTTATGTTCTATAACTTAAAACGGGACGTTATTGTTTTGCCTGTCACTCATTAATATTTGATTGTATACAGGTTCGAAGTCCTAATGACACAAGCAATTTTGATGACTATCCAGTAGACGATGAACCAGTGCCACCCGACGATTTGACAGGATGGGACAAAGATTTCTAGGTTTCCATGGCAACATCATAGTAGAAATGGTTACTGAAATATCTCTGGGATATTGCCTTTGTTGCCAGGATAGAATATTCTGTAAAAACAAAAGTAACACCTAGAATAGTCTGTAGAGGTCTCCCTATATTAGCATCTGTACAGAAGACAATATTCCAGTTGCTGTTTAAAACAAACAAATAAGTCATGCTGATTGTACATAAAATTTTAACAGTTCAAAAATGGATGTAAGGATTTAAAAATGATGATTATAAAATATGTTCATTCCAAAGAAGTGTTTATTTGCAACTTTTTTAGGTTTGTTGCCTAGCAACTTGGGATGCAGTCAATGGGCAAGGATTTCTCATTCCGTAAATGTGATAAGCTTTAATGATGTGTCCACACATTTTAACATTTAATTGCTTTAGAAATGAATCAGGTTGCAAATAAATAAGTTTTAAGTCATGCCCATTATATTTTTAAACAGTAATTTTCCATATAAATAAATCTCACAAACTGTTTAACCAACCTAATTTTATTACTTCGTTGATAATCCTTTTCAATAAAAAAGGTGCATCAAGTATGCAAGAACTTCTTATTTACCCAGAATGCATCATACCTTAGATGCATTTGCATGTTTTCACCCAGAATGCATTGCACCTGAGATGGACATACTTGTAGTATTGTATTTGCTTATTTAGGGTAAATCATATTGAAATAAATTTGTCATAATCCAAAATACTGAACTAATATATTGATAAGCCTTCCTGTAATTGATGTCACCATTGTTTAATGTCTGGTTAAACTTCTTGTCTTTTGCTTGTCTTGAATGTTCAACATTGACACTTTGTTGAATACTGCTATATTTTTTTGTTTTATAGTGGGGGCAATTCGCATTTTTTTTTAATTTCAGAATAGAGAGAATTTTAATAAGCTATATTCTATGGTGTTCTGTATGTTGAATAGACTGTATGTTAACATAGAAAAGCAACAGTATGTTGTTTTTCCAATGGTGTCGGCAGAATTCAATGCTGTAAATATTAGAAATAATGAATTATTGGGTTCATATATTTTATGCCACACTGTACGTTAGTAGTATAAGTCAGATGATGTTATTTGAATAGAGTATTCATCCAAAGGGGTTCCCAGCTGACAACAATTCCTACCACTGACCTGCCATTTTGAATATATTTGCACGCTTAAATTTTTGTTGTTGAATGCAAGGTGCAAGATTGAGTTCTGATCAAAATATGTGTAAACACTGATTTTTGTTTGTTTGTCTTTTGTTAACACAAAATCTGCTGAAAGCGTCCATAGAAATGACAGCCATATGACAACTTCAGCAGAAGATGTGCAAGACCACACAATTTGGCATGTGGAAATTAATTTTATTCATAACAAAGCAATTTTTATTTTTAAAATCTATCACTGTTTTATCTGTTACTGCCAACTTCAGAAACTGGCACTATTTTTTTTTTATTTCAATTTTTTTGCTGAAGTAATGTAATTATTGAAAACTAATCACAATCGGTAAAAGTTTTATTCTTTGGTGTTTATGTCATCGCAGCATTTCAATGAAACTTGGTACAAATATTTGATTTCCAAGTTCAGAAATCAGTGAATATTTAGGGTAACAGTTGAATTTTCAAATGTCCACCCCCATAAAAAATGAATGGTTCTGCCTAACAATTGTCTTAATGAACCAATCTATCACTGACAGGGGTGGGGTATCAAATAGAGGGGTTCAACAATGTGTGGAATGGTTTTTGGTTGATTCAGTCGAGAAACAAGATTGTCTTCTTTTTAATTAGCAATAAAGACAAGAATGGACTTTGTAAAAAAAATGTGTCACCTTAATTTTCTGAGCCGTGTATTGGAGATGAAATATCTCATCAATACTATTCTCATTTTTTTTTAGTTCAGAAAATCAAGTTTGTAGAACAGATGGATGGATGGATGATGCATTTTGTCTGATTCATGAAAACAAGACAATTTGCATATAGTGCATCAAGACTGGAATCCGCTGTCTGCACCGTGACGAATGAACCTCTTATTGCTCCTCCAAAAAAGTCAAAAAATCTGAGAGAATAAATCTAGTAAACAAGACATGAATGTCACAATCCCCGTTATTTAATTATAAAATACTCAAGTTAAAATAATACATGGAATATCTGTAAACAATTGAATTAATATGTACTCTATGTGGGTACAACTCATCATAAAGTGATTTCCCTTAATCTAGTATTGTACTGATAACTCAAAACTTTCATTGACCGCTGTCCAAAATTTCAGAGTACACAAGTGCAACCAAACTGAGTAAACCTTGATGTACCTACTTGACTTCTTCTGTCTTTGTATATTACCAGGACCTGGGTTTGTTTCAGTATCACCACTATAATTCCCATCAAAATGTAGCCCTGACCCCCCCCCTCTTTTTCACTCTGGCAGGATTCCACACAACTCCTTTTATACCCTCTTTCACACAGATTGTGGGTTATGGTTTCGCTATGTAAAATTTGTAATTATTCCTGAGGCAATTTGTAAATTACAAGTGACCATCATCAGTGATTATAAATCAAATTGACCTTGACCATCATCAGTGATTATAAATCAAATTGACCTTGACCATCAGCAGTGATTATAAATCAAATTGACCTTGACCATCATCAGTGATTATAAATCAACTTGACCTTGACCCATCATCAGTGATAAATCAAATTGACCTTGACCCATCATCAGTGATTATAAATCAAATTGAACTTGACCCATCATCAGTGATTATAAATCAAATTGACCTTGACCCATCATCAGTGATTATAAATCAAATTGACCTTGACCCCTCATCAGTAATTATAAATAAAATTGACCTTGACCCATCATCAGTGATTAAAAATCAAATCAACCTTGACCCATCATCAGTGATTATAAAGCAAGTCAATTATGAACATAAAGTAAAAGGCAAAACGCTAAAATATATTGGAAGTTAATAATTTTATTCAAAATAATGAAAAAAAGTGTTTAATAACAAATTTCATTTTGAAAGTGATTGGCTTCATGACCAATAACAGTAAATTTTACAAATATTCAATGCCTAATCAGTCATTGTCAGTTTTCAAGTTCATTTGCTAATATTTTTAAAGACTTAATAATTTCTTAATTAGGATCTATAATAGAATAACATTGGTACTATTTCTACTTTATGAATTGTCAACTATTTATCTATGTGGTATGTAAGAAACATACTGGCATATTTAAATATATTCCATACATTTATGATGTGCACACTTGCTTTTGAATCGTGTTTGCCCAGAATGATTGAGTGAATGAGTTTTGATTTGTAAAATGGCATTGAGAAGAATAAGAACCAAACACTACATATCAATTTATACAACTCTGATATTCCAATCAATGTAATCTGGTTGGTTAATACAACATATATGCAAATTATGTAACTTGCTTGGTTGATCACTACTATTCTTATCAGTGTAAACTGATTGGTTAATACAAGTAATATGGAAGATATGTAATCTGATTGGGCAGCAACTTCTCAAATAAAAATTACCCACCTTCTCTTCACCCTTATAATAATCACTGTTTAGATACAAAATGATCATGTCACCATTTTCCTTTACAATTATTTCTGTATTTAGAAATGTACCGATGAAATACTAAGTTGAATTCATGTACTGTTTTATTTTTATGACTGCGCCTATGGATCCATTTGCCACAGCATCCACAAAGTTACAGGAGATACAGTTATGGGAAAAAAAGCACTTTGTCAACTGATACAGCTTCGCTGTATAGCAAGACAGTTGAAAATAGAATTTTTTTCCATTATGACAAAATAATTCACTAAAACTAGAAGATTAAACTTATTGTTATGAAATGAACAAATCTATCAGAGGTCAAATCGATCAGGCTAACAATTTTAAAGAAGAAGTTGAAAATAGCATTTTACACCAAAAATATTCACTGAAATTAGAGAATTGAAGGTATCATCACAAAAAGAACAAATCTGACTAGGTGCATGACTACATATAAAGTATCAAAGCAATCAGGCTAGTTGTTTTCAAGAATATTCATCAAAATTAGAGATTTGAAAATATTTTTCACAAAATGAACAAATCTGACAGTATCAAAGCAATCATAACTGTCAATTCATAAAGAAGTCAAAAATGTAAAGTTGATGCAGATGGAGAACAATCAGTAATAAGTCAACAGCAGAGCTAAACTTGCAGGTATTGCTTTGTATAAATCTTAACTTTGGTGGTAAATATTGTGGAATTAAATTTCAACATGAATTGCAGAGAATATTAAATTCTAAGAAACTTCCAGGAAACTATGCCAAGTTCTTCATATATTCTGAAGACAAGAGGATTGTTGACTACAAACCCCTTAAAAATATACAAATAAGAGAATTGAATTTTTTTTTTTTAATTCAGGCACAGTTATTAGTTTATTACAAACAAGTCATTCATTATTAAGCAATTTTAAAGATACTATGTGTGATGTCCTGACTATGGGTATCAGGCAGCTAGTGGGTTCTGTGTGACTATTGGAACAGCTCCGGAGGGTTCTGTTTAACTACTGGAACAGCTCCAGGGTGTTCTGTGTAACTACTAGAAAAGCTCCAGGAGGTTCTATATAACTACTGGAACAGCCCCAGGGGGTTTTATGTAACTACTGGAACAGCTTCAGAGGGTTCTGTGCAACTACTGGAACAGCTCCAGGGGATTCAGTTTAACTACTGGAACAGCCCCAGGGGGTGCTATGTAACTACTGGAACAGCTCAAAAGGGTTCTGTGTAACTAGTGAAGAGCTCCATCAGCTTGAGAGGGTTTTGTGTAATGACTGGAACAGTTCCAGAATCTATATAACTACTGGAATAGCTCCAGAGGGTTCTGTGCAGCTACTGGAACAGCCCCAACAGGATCTATACAACTACTGAAGCAGCTCAAGCATTTTTCTTTTCTTTCATGACGACACTCTCCTGTAGAGAAAAAAAACAATAAACCAATTAATGCCTAATGCAAAGAATATAAACAATTGTTAATTTCTTGTAAAGCTATCATTACGGAGATACAACTGTAGCGGGATGTGTTTTCTTTGATTCAGTCATATGGAATATGTCATGGAGTTAAAACAAAATAGAATACAGAGATAACAAAATGCGTTTCCTTTGATTCAGCCATAGGGTAAATGGCATGCTTTAAGAATACATTTTGAATAAGAAATGAATGCAAAAAGTTAGTATGTGTGATAAAATGTATGATTTGATATGTAAAGTTTGGCTGCAATCTCTCAAGGTATTCAATGATATATATATGTATGGGTCTGAAAGAAATATTTGTTAATTTCAATATGTCCACTAGTTAAGCATTTGATCTGAAAAATAAAATGATGTGCCGCAAGGTCCAATTATATTCACTGTATTCAACAACCCCTTAAGCAACAAGGGTGTACCTCAAATCATCTTAGTAAATGAGTACCATAATTCTCTAATTTAGGCATCTTGGAAGAGTCAAATATTTTAATTTGGTTCTAAAAAGATGACAAGAACCGTTGAAAGTTTACAGTAAAAACAAAATTGGTATTTTTCAAATGATAACTAAAATAATGTAATATAATTAGTTTTGATTTTGAAATGAAAAGTACAGTCTAGAAGAAGTTTCAAATAAAAACACAAATGCACTGCTTAGTAGCATTATCACGGTACTGTAATGCAGTCAAGTTGCTGGAAATGTTGTTTACACAATCATGATCATAATAACATACAAAAAATTCATTGGTTTCTATAAAATACAAGTAAAATTCAACTTTGTTTCATCGTAAGCGAAAGTTTTGGTCATAGGCAAACGTTCAATGTTATATGATATCCGCCATGTGAATCTGTGTTCTATCAGGATAGGTCAAGCTAATTATGCTTGATGATGCTAACATTTTCCAATCACCATAGCTCATTTAAATATGTTTATGAATGTTCAGTGATCTCACTGAATGGTGAACACAATACAGAAGAGATTTACCAATGTTGCAGTATGATCTTTTGGCATTGATTTTGGTGGGAAAATAGCATTTTGACAATCAGGAATTTAGCAATTTTCACAAATTGATAAACTGAGCATTGAAGAAGCATTTTTTTCACGGCTCATTGTGAAAACAGAGGTTATACTCTAGAATAGGCGTCAGTGACTGTGAAAATCCTAAAGTAGACTCCTAAGTAGATGCAAGGAAAGGTTGAAATGTTCAAAAAATTAGACCTAAATTTGAGTATTTATGGTAATACATTATGTTTAAAAGTGTCATGTTAATTATACAGCCTCTTTAACCTTTTCACCACCAGGTCCCTCTTTTCATCACAAATTAATAAAATAGTCCCATTTATAGTCTGCACTTTCCATCAGAACATTGGGACACAAATAGCTAAATTTTTTGAGTATAACTGAACATTGACATTTTGGGCCGGAAAAAAATACCCCTCATAACAAATCACCGTGTTGAGGGGCGATGAACAAATGAGACACCGATTGTCAAATTGTTTTGGTAAATCATTGCATGTTGATTCATTTCATTTGTACAGGGTACTCCGACACGAAAATAAGGTAAACCAGCCTACTTAGTGCTAATGATTTTGTGATGCCCTACACGAAGAACGTTCTCAGAAATAATCCGACATGCTGATCAGCACACCAACAATCGGCACCAAAATTGATCACAGCTGTCACGGTAAATTTGGTATGTTTTATGAGTTTTTTTTCTCCAAGTCCCAACATACATTTACACATGTAGGTGAATTTTGTCAGCTCTGTGTAAATAGATATTTTTACTGGGAATGTGCCCCATTTTACGTACGAGAAGCCCTTACACAACGCAGTAGTCATCAACACACATAGACATCCTATACCTACTAATCGACTTGATAGCTTCGTAATTTGGGGAGGGTGGGGTGAAAGTGCACCATGCAAGTTTCCAAATGTGTAAAGGAAAATAAAGGAAAGAAGTACAATACAATGTTGGTAAGCGATAAAAAGGAAATATCTCCTTACGGCAGCGACTTGATACAACTACATTGATGCTGGAGGTCACCATATTTGTTCTCGCGTTAAATCAGGATTCACAAGTACAACGAATTTGCACAACATTTTACCATGAAATCGAACATACCAACCATTTTCATATTTTCAACACTGTCACGGTTTTGGCGATGATGAATCTCATATTCATTATTTTCTTGACTGGGCTCACACAGGGTTCAATGTTCCGTGGCTTGAATGTAATTGTAGCTATATACCAAGTTTCATTGAAATCCGAACATTGGTTCTTGTGATATCGATGGAACAAACACACACACACACACACACACACACACACAGACACACTAACTGCAAAGACTCCCTTTTTGTGCTTCGCACACGGGAGTCAAAAATGGACGCCAATTGGATATCCTGAAACAAATGGATGTGCAAATGTATAATATCATGTATGATGTATATGTGAAGTTTGATTGTGATTGGTCCAGGCATTTCTAAGATACAGGTCCGGACGCACGCACAGACACACAGAGGTCAAAACATAAGTCCCCGTTTTTGGACTGCGTCCGAATAGGGACTAAAAAGTGCAGAAATATTCGGGTGAGAAAGTGTGGTGGTGAAAAGGAGAGCATAATGGCCATAACTTTACTCACCTTAATGAAGCTATTAGAGTCACCACTAAGGAACATATTTGGAATACTCTCTCCAAAGTAGATTTTACTGTTTTGAGATATTGCTTGGTATTTCATCATCTCCAGGTACTCAGGAGTCAATTTTAACTGGAAAAAAATATGATCATAAATATGTAAAATGAATCAGCAAAAGTAAATAATTAAAAACAACTTCAAATTCAACATCATAGGGGGTTTTTAGACACTGTATAAGTTACTAGTAAAA